AGACAGAGTGGGGACCAGAACAGGCAGATTGACGAAGTACACTGCTGAGGGGAGCAGTGGGCGGGTCAGGAGAGGTCTGCCATGCCATGTGGATCTCCTCCGGGGCAGGCAGGGATCGAACTCATGCGGAAGTAGCTTTTGATTCTTAGTACAGTGCTTTAACCTACTGCGCCACCAGGGAGGGCCGATATGTATATATTTTTATACACATATAAAGATACATATAATAAGAAATTAGCATACCTGACTCTAGAATTTGAAAAGTCCTGTGATCTGCCATCTGTAAGATAAGGATTCAAGGAGAGTAATTTCTTGTCTCAGTCCAAAAGTCAAAGAATGAGGTAAGCCCATGGTGTAAGTTCTAATGTGAGTGTAGGAAAAGATTTGGTCTTAGCTCCAAGAGAGTAAAAAGTCATCTGGCTTTACTGTGGAGGATAATCTGCTTTACTCATTCTGTCAATTCAAATGTTATTCTCATTGAGAAACACCATTTCAGAAATAATGATAAAACAAGAGATCTGGCATATACACTCCAGCCAGGCTGACACCAAAAATTATCATATCTATCAAATTATCATATTACATAGAGTGTTAATCCTTCTTGGATTAGGCAAGAAAGCTGAATCATGTGTGACTGACATTTGGTCTAGACTTATTGAGTGAGTAGATAGTAGCATGGTTGTGCATTTCCTGCCATTTATGTATTCATACAGGTGTAAAGAACCAGAGTCACTTGATTAAAAATTAAGGGAGAATCTGGCATGATGACATACCCCAAGACATATTTTAACAAGACTTCTAGAATCTTGTGGCAAGGAAAGATAGCTAATGCATTCAGAGAAAGAAGAGTTACAGAGCAGGAAACACTTGGTAACTATCCACAGATATCACAGTGGAAACCTTCCAGACAAAAAGAGAATGGCAAGATGTGTGTAAATCCTTCAATGAAAAATAATTCCAATCCTGAATATTTTATCTGGCCAAAATATCATTCAAGAGTAAAGAAAGGTAAGGGGTTTTGTAGAAGAAAAAAATTAAAAGACTACATCAATAGAAAACTGAAACCAAACAGTCTCTATATAATAAACTCTGGGAAGAAAAAAAATGTCCTGGTGAAACTTTCCCAATTTAGTGTGGGGTAGAAATTTTGAATATAGTCATATTTACTACGATTAGAAATGTGTTGATTTCAACAAGACAAAACATAAACAAGGATACTAAAGCTCTAAACAAGGACCTAGACCTCGTGGGCTTAACAGACATCTATAGAACACTGCACTCAAAAAATCTGAGTGCACACTTTTCTCAAACCCACATGGATCATTCTCAAGGATTGACCATATATTGGACAGAAGTCAAATATTAATAAATACACTAAGAAAGAAACCACACCAGCTATTTCCTCTGACCATGAAGGAATCAAACTAGAAATAAACCATGTGAAGAAGGCAAGAAGCCCACCTACTTCATGGACATTGAAACCCACACTACTGGAGGACCATTGGATCAATGAGGAGATCAAGGAAGAAATTAAAAGCTACCTTGAGAAGAATGACAATGAGGACACAACTCTCCAAAACTTATGAGACACATAAAAGCAGCTATAAGAGGAAATGCATAGCAATATAGGCCACATAAAGAAACAAGAAACAACCTAATCTACCACTTTTAAGAACTGGAAATAGAACAACAAAATAACCCAAAAAACAGTAGAAGATAGGAAACAATAAAAGTCAAAGCAGAAATAAATGAAATAGAAGTTAGGAAAACAATCCAAAAAAATCAATGAAACCAAAAGTTGGTTCTTTGAAAAAGTAAACAAAATAGACAAACCCCTAACCAGGCTCACAAAGAAACAGGAGAAAGCACAAATAAACAGGATCATAAATGAAGGGAGAAACCACAACAAACGCAGCAGAAATAAAAAAAAGAATAGAGAATACTATGAACTGCTATATGCAAACAGTTTCAACAAGCTAGAAGAGATGACAAATACCTACAACTCTATAATCATTCAAAGCTAGATAAAGAAGAAATATACAACTAAACAGGCCAATTATAAGCAGTGAAATTGAAACAGTAATTAAAACCCTCCCCAAGAACCAGATGGATTTACAAATGAATTTTGCCAAATGTTCAGAAAAGAAGTAGTTCCTATCCTGCACAAAGTCATTGAAAAAATTGAGAAAGAAGGAAAACTACCAAATACTTTCTATGAAGCCAACATCACACGAATACCAAAACCTAAGAAAGACAACACACACAAAAAAAACTTCAGACCAATCTCCCTAATGAACACTGATGCAAAAATCCTTAATAAAATCTTAGCCAATGGAATCCAACGATGCATTAAAAGAATAATATACCATGACCAAGTGGGTTTTATTCCAGGGACACAAGGATGATTCAGCACCTGAAAATCAATTAATGTAATCCATCACATCAAGTGACAGAAAAATAAAAACCACATAATCATATCAATAGATGTAGAGAAGGCATTTGACAAAGTTCAACATCCATTTATGGCTAAGGCCCTCAAAATCCTTGGAACAGAAGGAACATAATTCCACATGATAACAGCCATATATGACCCACAGCCAATATTATCATCAATGGAGAAAAGCTGAAAGCCTTTCCTCTAACATCAGGAACATGACAAGGATGTCCACTATAACCACTGCTCTTCAACCTAATACTGGAAGTCTTAGCCAGACCAGTAAGACAGGAAAAACACATAAAAGGAATCCAAGGGAAAGAAGTGAAAATATCTTTATTTGCAGATGATATGATAATTTACATGGAAAACCCTAAAAACTCCATAGAAAAAACTAATCAAAACAATTAACCAGTTTAGTAAGGAAGCAGGATATAAAATCAGCACACAAAAGTCAGTATCCTTCCTATACACAAACGACCAATCTGAAGAAGTGGAAATCAAAAAACCATTCCCTTTACAATTGAAACAAAAAAATCAAATACTTGGGAATAATAAACATAACAAAAGAGGTAAAAGACCTATACAAAGAAAATTATAAAACTCTGTTAAAAGAAATACAGGAAGACACAAAGAAATGGAAAGACATCCCCTGCTCATGGGATTGGAAGAATTGACATAATTAAAATGGCCATCCTACCAAAAGTGAGATACAGGTTTAATTCTATACTAACAAAAATCTCAATGATATTCTTCAAAGGACTAGAACAAATATTGATGAGATTTATATAGAACCACAAAAATCCTTGAAGAACCAAAACTCTGTTGACTAAAATGAAAGAGAATGGAGGCAACACACTCTCAGACTTCAAGCTATAGTACAAAGCCATAATAATCAAAACTGCATGGCACTGGAACACGCACAGACCAGTGGATTTGAATTGAAAATCAGATATAGGCCCTCCCTGGTGGCGCAGCGGGTTAAAGCACTGCACTGAGAAGCTAAAGCCATTTCTGCATGAGTATGATTCCCGCCTGCCCCGGAGGTGACCACATGGCGTGGCAGACCTCTCCTGACCTGCCCACTACTCCCCTCAGCAGTGTACTTCGTCGATCTGCCTGTTCTGCTCCCCACTCTGTCTCTGGTGAATCCCCTCGCTGCCCCTGAGCCTCTGGCCTGTACCCCAGTTCTGTATGTACAAATAAATAAATCTTTAAAAAAAAAAAAAGAAAGAAAATCAGATATAAACCCACAGGCTTATGGACAGCTAATGTTTGACAAAGGAGCAAAGAATATGCAATGGAACAAAGAAAGTTTGTTCAATAAATAGTGCTGAGAAAACTGGACTGCTACCTGCAAAAATATGAAGCTAGATTACCACAGCGTACCATGCACAAAAACCAACTCAAAATGGATTAAAAAACTAGACATAAGACCTGAAACCATAAAATATCTAGAAGAAAATGTGGGTAAAACACTACACAACATACACCTCAATAACATCTTTAAAGATACATCATCCAAAGCAAGGATAGTGAAAGAAAGGATAAACAGCTGGGACTACATCAAGTTAAAAAGCTTCTGTACAGCAAAAATGACACTACATAAAACAAAGAGACCTCCCACTGATTGGGAGAAAATATTTGCACACAATACTAATGACAAAGAACTGATCACAAAGATATACAAAGAGCTGATGAAACTCAGTAAAAATAAAGTGAACAACTCCAACCCCATCAAAAAATGGGCAGAAAAGCTAAAAAGAAACTTATCCAAAAAGGAAATGCAGATGGCCAACAGACATATGAAAAAATGTTCAACATCACTTGTAATAAGAGAGATGCAAATTAAACCACAATGAGATACTGTCTCACATCATTGAGAATGGCACATATTAAAACTACTAGCACCAACAAATGTTGGTGAGGGTATGGAGAAAAGGAACTCTCCTACACTGCTGGTGGGAATGCAAACTTGTGCAATCACTATGGAAAGCTGTTTGGAGGTTTCTCAAACTGCTAAAATTGGAACTTCCCTATGACCCACTCTTAGGTATCTACCCAAAGAACACAAAAACATTAATCCAAAAGGACACTTGCACCCCTTTGGTTATTACTATTCTATTTACAATAGAGAAGAAATGAAATCAACCCAAATGCCCAAAAATAGATGTCTGGATTAAGAAGATGTAGTACATGTACACAATGGAATATTACTCAGCAATCAAAAAAGATAAACTCATGCCTTCTGCAGCAACATGGATGGAGCTGGAAGGGATCATGCCTAGTGAACTAAGCCAGAAAGAAAAAGAAAAATACTGTATGGTTTCACTCATAGCAGGAGTATAAGATATGGGTGGTGGTGGTGGTCATGGCCATAGTAATAAAGTATAAAGTAAAAATGAAAACAATGAACAACCATAAACCAGAAAACCAGAGACATTTACAGAGTTGGAAAGGGGAATGGGATCATAACTGGGGTGGGGAGAGCTCATGGGACTATGGTGATGGCACACAGGTGAATTAGTAGTGGGAAGTCTATGAGGATTACAGCCAAGATGAAAAAATACATGAAATGAAGAATGATATGAAAACTAAGAAAAAAAGTGTTGATTTTTTGATAAGGTTTTGATGTCAGAAGAACATTTGGATAGTGAGGTAAGCCTTGCAAACCATCAGAAGCTGACCTGCCAGTCCTACTTTAAATGGACAGAGTGTACTGCTGGGCTGACGTGGGCGTGCGCAGGCAAATGCAGAGGAGCATCTAATCTCTGCTGAGATCAGATACAGTTTCATCACCTTCACATCGTGTGTTCACTTTGTGGGTGAGAGATATGTGGAGCAGCATGGGGGTATCCAAGGAAGAACGGAAGGTGAGAGGTGACGTAGAGTGAAGCGTAGTTCTGTCTCCTGCCTTCATCCTTGTCCAAAGCTAGTGGTCCAGCAGTGGTGAGAGACTTGGGGGTGGTGGGGAGCCCAGCAGCAGCTGGAGTTGCTCCTCATGACTCCAGGAATTTTTTTTTAAAAGATCTATTTATTTATGCATTACAGAACTGGGGTATAGGCCAGAGATGCAGGGGTGGTGAGAGGATTCACCAGATACAGAGTGGGGAGCAGAACAGGCAGATTGACAAAGTACACTGCTGAGGTCTTCCAGGCCATGTGGATCTCCTCCAGGGTAGGCGGGGATCGAACTCATGTGGAAGTGGCTTAAGCTTCTCAGTGCTGCGCTTTAACCCGCTGCGCCACCAGGGTGGGCCCTCCAGGAAGTTTTGCAAGGATTAGGCTATTGCTGCTTTCTTCCCCTTCCCGCAAGAGGGACCCACCAGTTGCCACATTTCAGAGGTCTCCAGTCTCTCATTCACTCTAGCTGCCCCATTGTAGTTTGGAAGAGAGCAGAGGGGTTTTGATGTCCTAGGAATCCAGTTCCGCGATTGATTTTTCAATTCTACATGCAGGTGGCTTGTTTACGTACATCTCTGGGGCCAACTTCCTTGGTGAGATTGTGGAATGGTTTGGCTTTGCCCTGGCCACCTGGTCTCTCCCAGCACTTGCCTTTGCGTTTTTCACGCTGTGTTTCCTTGGACTGCGAGCTTTTCACCACCACAGGTAACCTTTTCAGTAAAGGGGAAGCAGCCACATAACTTCCTCCTCCAAACAGATTTTAGTCCCAAAGAGGCAGATTTAGAAACCCAAGACATTTTTTAAAAAGATTTATTTATTTATGCATGTAAGACCTGGGTGTAGGCCAAAGGTGCCGGGGTGGGAGGGGGGAGGGGTTCAGAGTATTCACTAGAGACAGAATGGGGCGAGGAACAGGTGAATCTACTGGGTACACTGCTGAGGCAGGCAGCAGACCAGGCAGCAGACAAGAGAGCAGTGTGGATCAGCTCCCCGGTCAGGGACAAACTCAGGCCACAGCAGTTACAGCATTATAACACTGAGACTTCACATTTAGCCACCAGGGAGCCCCTCCCCCCAGGATATTAATTTTTATAAGGTAAGTTGACACAATGATCCGGACTGGTAAGCTCTGAATTTTGAGTTTGCACTGAAGTTGGAACTCAGCTGGACGACCTGGGAAATGCCTGTTATTTCCTTGAGCAGAAGCTAGCCCATGTACTCAGAGGCACCAAGGGGAATTGGGGTACCCTGTGCCATCTTGCTGAAGGAGGCTTCTCAGCCAGAAGCCCCTATGAATGCTTGAGTATGGGCTCCATACCTCCCTAGCGGGATCCTGGGGATCAGCTGCTGGTTGGCAGTGAGTGTGGTTAGTCAAGAGATGTGAGGAGTGGCTTGTGTTTCCCTGCTTCAATTCCATTCATTTCTGCCACCTTTATCTAAGTATGTTCCATGGGTGGGGTCATGGTGCTACTTTCTGGAGCTACACAGGTCATTCTGGGGCACAGTCAGCTACCAGGGGAGAGTGCTGGTCTTGTGCCAGTGTGATGCTCCTTCTGGCTTCGTGTTTCGTTCTCACTTTGGCGCTAACAATTCAGGCAATCGCAGTCTCGGAAATGACCAGCTTATGTTCTCCCAGTGTGTGTAATACCGAGGCATATTCTGGTTCTCTCGTCCTCCCCCTCTCCCCAGCCTCCATGCCCAGGCCATTGCTGATTACCTGAGGAGGTGGGTTAGCAGTGGCTCCAGGACTGCCCTGTGCTGGGTGCTGCCAGAAACCACAGGAGACTTTTCTCTCCAGGTCTAGCCTAAAGCTTTGGTACTCTCCAGCTGCCTCCCAATGCCCCCACTTTCCTCCCAATGTCTCCCCCCAGCTCCTGACTCTCAACACCTCCACCTGGATGGGGACTAAAGAGTTAACTAGAAGTATCCCAAGAAGGGAAAGAGTAGCAGAGTTGTATCAAGCTTTAAACAGGAATATAGCACCTTTTCTTTAAGATGCCTTTGCAGCCAGGGGGAAGAGAAAGGTGGTACATATCAGGAGATAATGGAGGGGAGGGGAGATAACGCATATCCTAGGGGGAATGCTTTCAGACTCCAGGTGCTCCTGAAGCTCCTGCAGAGATGTTTTAGCTGGTTAATGTAGTTTTGAAGGTTCACTAAGAATGGGTTCTTTTCCTTGGAGACCTGGTAGAAATGAATGAGACCACAGCTCTTATCTGACTTGTTCCTGTCACCTCCCAGACTCAGTGGGAAAGGGCAGCGGAGGGCCCTAGCCTGTGGGAGCTAGCAGAAGGGCTGAGGGCAGGGAGAGGGTGTCAGCCAACAATAGGGAGGGACAAGGAAGGGACAGTCCCCCAGCGAGCAACAAGAGCATCCAACGTGAGGTCCTCTCCTGGAAGAGCAGGTCTCCAGGGGAGGGCAGCAGCTGTTCTAGCCTATGTGCAGACATCATCAGCAAGACATTGTTACTCTTTGTCCCAGGTCACACGAAGGACCCTTGTCAGAGTGTATCATCTTGATTATCACTCGGGAGCTGCCAGTGTCAGCTAGTTAAAAGGACAGTCTGGTGACTTAAGGAGAAAGGCTTTTGTACATTAGCAGTCTCCTACGGCTGCCAAAACTGTTTGGCACAGACAGAATGGCTTAAAGGTGTTTTCTCACAGTTCTGGAGGCAGAGACCTGAAGTCAAGGTGTGATACGTGTGGGACCATGTGCTCCCTGCTGTTGCCAGGATCCCTCCCTGCCTGTTCCTGCTCTCACTGGTCTGAAACCTGCCTCTGTCATCACCTGGCCTTCCCATGTACCTCTGGCTCCATGTCTCTCCTCCTCCTTGCCTTTCAAATTGGATTAAGGGCCTGCCTGCCCTGCTCCAGTAAGACCTTATCTTAGTAAATTACATCTGCAATGGGCCCTACTTGGTGGTGCAACGGGCTAGGAAGCAGCATTGCAAGCCGGCCGCAGCCGCTTCAGTGCAAGTTCAATCCCGGGCCCTGGAGGTGACCCACATGGTGTGGCAGACCTCTCCTGGCCCGCCCGCTGCTCCCCTCAGCAGTGTACTTCGTCTATATGCATGTTCTGCTCCCTGCTTTGTCTCTGGTGAAGCCTCTCACCACCCCGGCAACTCTGGCTTGTTCCCCAGTTCTGTATGCATAAATAAATAAATCTTAAAAAAAAATATACTTGCAATAACCCCCTTTCCAAAGAGTTGTCACATTCTCAGGTACTGCAGTTTAGGACTTCAGCATATATTTTTTTTGGGGTGGGCACAACTTAACCCATAGTATAAGTACCATTTCCTGGGGGTCCCCAGGCCTCATGAAGGGATGTTTTCTTGGGGACACTGCCAGTTCTCTAGGGTTAACCTTTGTCCATGGTCTTTGGGGTCTCTGGCTTCCTGTATTCTCAGAAGAACCTATCCAGGTGAGATACTACTGGATAGTAATCTACTTCTTCGTGCCTGTCACAGTTTTGTAATTTTATCGTGGTAGGCTGGACACAACATTTACCATTTTAAGTGTCAATTCATTGCTCTTGGACCTATTCACAGTAGCATACAACTATCACTGCTGTCTTCTGGCTATTTTTATTTTTCAACACATAATGTGACAACATTTACAGGAGATAGGGTACAGGAGCGAGAAAGATGGACAAGTAGCTATCTGGAAGAGTCAGGCCCTGAAGAACTGTCGGTAGATTTGTAACAAAGCTTTCGACTGACCACTGCTTGATTCCATTATAATTATTCCTTTTTTTTTTTTTTTTTTGTCTCTTAGGTTCTACCTCAAGAGGTTTGAGAACTACCCCAAATCTCGGAAAGCTCTCATTCCATTCATCTTTTAAAAGAAACCAAATCAAAAAAGGAACAGAGCTCCCACAATCCTGTCGAAACTCATCAAACTGCTGAACCCATAACTTCTGATGTTCTGCTCTGTGAGTGTCTGTAACCACAGGTCTCCTGGTGTTCTGACAGCTGGTGTCAGGATTCTGGGTGTTGCCTCCTATCCTCCCCTGGAGCCTCTATCTTGATCTCCTGTTGAAGCTCACCACGCCCTGTACCATTTAGAGACATTGGTTTCTTAGCTATTCCTCCTAGAAAGTGCAAACATTCTCTATGTAATTTTATCTTTGGCTGATCCAAGAACATATGGCTTAACCTCTACTCTGCAGCAAGGTAACGTAGCTCTGTATTCAAGACAGTTCTGGGTTCAGAGCCATGTTCTTAGGATGTAGTGAAGGTAGACATTTTACATCTCTATGAATGAGCAGAGATTTAAATTCTGAAACTACACAGCTCCAGAGAAAATCTACTTCCAAATGAATGCCCAGCCCTACCACTTCCCCTCTTAGTTATGAAAGATGTGGAAAGGTTGGCAGACTTTTAATAGAGGAGGCTTCTCTTCACATTGCTGAACATGCACCTATGCATCGACCGCATTTCAGACCTTAGTCCATTGTCTTAGTGACTCTGTTTCCCTGAAGTGTCACAACCCTTGTTGGAGAGAGCATAACCTAACCCTGCAAGCTTGGTATGCATTTCATTGAAAATCAGGATTTAGTGGCTACAAAGAAAACAAAACCACAATACTAGATGACTACTGAAAGAAAAGATGTTTGCAATAGGCACTGAAAACTCTCATATTCTTGATAACTGCTGGAAACACCCAAATAGTGAGCAAGTAGTGAGGGACTCCTCTCCTGGAATTTCTTCATTGCACACCTCAGCATGCAATAAAAAAGGTATCTCCTTTCACCTTGAAAGATCTGAGGATGATGTAAATGACTGGAAAACACAACTTGTAATCATATAAATAAGTGCTTTGGCTGCTCATTAAATGCCTCTTGAGACATGGAATGTTAAGTAATTTTGCTTCAATTGAAAGATCTCTGGACTCATGCAGATTTTTACAAGGTGTTGAGTTGTGTTTCCTCCTTGCCCCCTCCTTTAAGTGTTATATTCTTTCTTCTCTTTTTGCCGACATGAAATGAAGGGCTCTGAGCCAAAAATACAGAAGCATGACTATAGAGCTTTATCATAGCTCAGAACTGCAAGCAGGTGCAATGAAGGAACAGGAAAATGTGTAAAGGTTACATTTCACACCTAGTGTTCAGAAATATCAGTGGGGTGGGGTGTAGGTACGGGTTGCTGAAGGTGGGGTAGCGGGGGACACTGTGAATAAGTCTTAAGGTAAGCTAGGGCTCTGAAGCCCCCTCCGTTATTCTGGAAGCTGCTTTTCTTAAATCGTTCATCTTACTACCGTGTAAACCGTTTGGGCTAGTGTTTGAGATGTAATAAATGGCAGATACTATTTGCCCAGCACTCAAATCATCAGGAAATAAGGGCTATTCAGCAACTGCACTTTTGCCAGTAGGGGGTGCTCTCTAGAATTTACTTGCGCCAATCCCGATTTAATAAAGTAACTCTCATATTTGGAAATTAAGAAAAAGTCCTATTGTCCTTTTAAGAAAACATGATCATGAACCTTCTTGGTTTAAGTAGAGTGTAGAATGAACTTTGATAGCCAAGGAAATGCCAGTGCCCCCATTTCCTATGTTTAGGGCTAAGATGTGTACAGGGCTAGGATCTGTATGCTCACTCCTACATATATTTCCCATTTTTCAAAAAATAGGATGCAACAAAAATATGGCTTATTTAGGTTTCCATGGAGTAGTTTGTATTAAAATAATAAGGGACTGACTTATGTCAAAAGATGCCCTGAAGGTTGCTTCAGTTGAATCTTTCATGGAGAGAATGTTTTTGCTGATCTTGTAGGAGATGTCAGAGCCAATATAAGACAAGGCTGGTCCCGCGCTTCACATTATAGAAGGAGACACTGAGACCACCTGTGTAAGGGTCACACAGCTGGTCAGATAGCAGCCTTCTCTGTCCCTTTAAGGAACAGAGTCCTTTGTTTCTCTTAAGAAATAGTGGACTTTTGTAAGAGAGACACAGCAGAGCCTACAGATCACTATGACTTTAATCTGAGCATATTCATCTGGCAAGCACTTATTATTTACAATCTGATAAACATTCTGGGTGGAGGAGGATACTGATGACTGAGACATGATTATTGCTCCGTAGGAAGTGCCAGTTGGAGAAAAATAACCTGAGGTTGAGTGCTGCAGTCCAGATGCCTGCTCATTAGCATGAGCACACGTTTCCCGCACTCTGAGGATGCACGGCTGATGCCTGCACTGTGAATCTGTTTGCTAAAATGTAGGGTTTTCCCCCTGTGTAGCTGCAATGACATTTGTGTATTCAGTATGGAAAAAGATTCAAATCACAAATCCCCCTTCTCCCCAGCACTTACCTTCATAAGGAGTGAATTGAGCCCCCTAAAAGGAAAATAGACCTCTAATGGGAAATGTGTAATCAAATAGTAGTTTAGTTACTTAAACCCTTTCAGGAACATATAAATAAACCTGTGCTTTTACTGCCCTGTAGTTTGACAACAGCTGTCTTGACTTTTGTGGTAACTCATGACCATCTCTCTGAGGAGCTGGGGAGAAAGCTCTTGGCACGTGGAGGGATATCCTCATGAAGAGTTTTTTCCTTCCCTGCCGGCCCTTTTAACTCTCAATGAGTGTGGGCTGAGGTCCAGGCGTGGCAAATATGAAGCATAACAATAAACGTAAAGCAAATCCTCCTAGAGAAGGCTGATGGTGTTTTTACAGCATCTGCACTATCGCAGGATAAAAGAAAGGGGCCTGTAGCCAGATGGGCATATGGGCGCTTAGATGATTCAATGTCACTGAGTGGATTTAATTTCCAAGTAAGAGATTTGCTCACTCTCTCCTAGACCCACTGAACTGTGGTCCTAAAAGGTTCTACGTGACTTGTGTTTTATCTCATTTCCTCTCGTGGACCATAGCTTGGGATTTGGATGAAGGAACCTAGGGAAGGTGAAAGTAAGTACTAAACTCAATTAGTCCCTTTTGTCTCAACCTTTATTTGCACCCAGGGTTTGGATTTGCTCCATATAGTCAGAGTTTAGGTGCAGCATACCCGTGTCCTCTCCCAGGAGGCAGCCAACCAGCTGGGAGGAGGCGGGGAGCAGAGAAAGTGGAGAAGGTAGGGAGTTATGTGGGGTTGGGGGAGCCTAGGTTATGGAATCCTTGGGGGAAAGGGGCCTCTCCCTGACGGAGGGAGCTCCACCCCTTCTCCTTGTGTCCAGGCTGCTTTAGCCCAATCCTTCCTCATCTCCCAGGAAAAGCAGCCCCTCTGAGAGAGTGAACTCTTCTTGGCGATCCTTTTTCACAAGGGAGAGAGATTTCATTTCTTTAAACCTCAGCCAAATGGCTGTCCCTCACAATAAATAATTGTATTTCTGTGCATTCACCTCATAAAGATAGCTTTCAGTCTGCATGACAGTGAGACTTGTGAGAACGAGGTAAGGGAATTATTTTGAGAAAGGTGTGGTAGCACCAACTTTTGTGAGGCCCAGAGGAGAGCATCCCTAGGGCTAAGCATCCCTTAGGTCTTCACTTCTCAAGTTCTTTGTTTCTCTTTTCTACAGTGGCCCCAAAGGCAAATTCCTTTGTTACCAGCATTGAGTAGAAATAGATGCCAAAAGGTCAATTAAATTTCATTAGTTAATTCATTAATGCATCCATTGGCACATATTGCCTTTCAGACACTGATTTACTAAAACAAATTATTTGTGGTGGTTTATATAACTGGATAGAATGTAAACAGATAAGTAAGTGGAGTTAAGTAAAAGTTAGGGTAAAAAAATAAGCCAAGGGAAAAGTTAAAATGTAAAATAATGCATGGACAGTGGCTAACACATCAACCATAAATTGGGTGCTGAATCTTCAAAGAAAAGGGGCTTAATTCACAGCACCCATAAGGTTGAAAAGAAAAACGAACCAGTGTGTCAGTAATTCAGTGGTCACTGGCACTGAGACTCGTCAGAAATTCCCTCAGTGTCTGATGCAGGGGTCCATGTCCATGAAGACAGCTTCAGCTCAACGCAGTTCTTGCATTTGTGCAGCTTCTTTTAATGCCCAGCCTCAAAGACGGGAATCTAAAGCCACCAGAGCTGCATTCTTTGAAAGCAAAAGGACAATTTTGCTTTCACTTAGGATGTGGCCCCGCTCATACCCTAACTGCGGCACTTCTTACGAGGCAATAATTGTGTCTTAGTCAGCAGTCCCACCCCTGAACATTGATCAGATTATAAATTATGTGACTGTTGGATGCAGTCATATAATTACTCTGTAGGCTCTGCTGTTTCTCTCTTGTAAGAGTCTACTTGTGGTCTTCCTGCCCAAGAATTTTCTACTATCAAGTATCTGGCTGTAGGTGGGTGGAATTGGAGCAGACGGATCCTTATTGTTACTAAGATTAGTTTATCAGGGAACCTGGAGGAGTAGCTGGACAACCTAAATGAGTTGGTGAGGGACAGAGGAAGAAATAGGAAACTAAAACTTTTCAAGTGGAAATGCTCGCAACCTCCCTTATACACACACACACACACACACACACACACACACACACACACACATGCACTACCAGAAATGAGAAATTCTTTTGATGGGTTTTGCAGACTGGACATTATAGAGAAAACAATCAGTTTAAGTTAAATTAATAGATTTATCTAAATTGAAACATAGTAGGGGAAAAGGGTGCTGTGTGAGATATTATAAAGCAATATAAAATATGTGTTCTTGGGTTGCAAAGAGGTGTTGGGGTGTGGGGGAGAAAGAGATGCAAAGAGTTGAGACTTTTCCTAAAATCAATGAAAGGTTCATACCATTATTGCCAAGAAGTTCAAAAAATTCCAAGCAGGAAAACTGAAGAAAATTGTACCCACAAATATTATTGTCTAACTGCTGAAATGAATGATAAAATCTTGAAGACTGCCAAGAAGGAAAAAAGAACATTAAGAAACAAGAGCAGATTTTTGCTAGAAATTCGATACACTACAAGACAGTAAAATATTGTATTTAAGATATTGGAAGAAATAAAAAAACTGTAAACACAGAATTCTATACACAGTAAAACTATCTTTCAAAAATGAAAGCAAAATAATGAGTTTCAGAAAAATGAAAGCTGAGAGATTTCATTACGTGCAAGTCAGGACTAAAATTAACATTAAAGGAAATTCAAGTTAGAATAGAAACAATGCGATTGTGGCGTACACATTGTGTGTGAAATAAAAGATATGACAGCAGCTGTGCAAAGAAGGGGAGAACAGAAATGAAGGCTGCTGCTGAGGGCGCCTCTCCATGTAGATGTGACTGTGAGTGTGAACTGGGTTACAGACATTACACAGACTTTAAAGAAATAACCGAGAAAGGACTAGAGACAGTACACTGGACATTGAGAGAGGAAAGGAATTATAAAAAACTATCCAATCCCAAAATAATGCAGAGGAAACGGAATAAATGACAAAAAAGCAAAACAAACAGATGGGAAAAATAGAAAATACTGAGATGATGAATTTAAATTCAACTATATTGGTAATTGCAAGAAATGTAGATGGTGTTGGCATTTTCAAGTAAAAGGAAGAAATTTTCAGACTAAAGAACATATTCAGCTATATTCTATATATAAGAAATCTGATATAAATACTAAAAATAGGGGTATAAATTAAGTGGATGTATGTAGTTATAGATATTATTAAAAAGGCTAGTTAAAATAAATTTGGAGTGACTATATTAATATCAGAGTTCAGAATAAAGAATATTACAAGTTATAAACTGAGATAGTTCATTATTATAAAGAAGTCACTTCAATAAGAAAGTCAGCCTGAATTTGTATGTACTAAATAACCACTTCAAAATACATAAGGCAACAGTTTACAGAACTGAAAAGTAAAATAGGCAAATGTGTACTTTCTTTTTTTAAGATTTATTTATGCAAACAAGAAATGGGGATCAGGCCAGAGGCCTGATGAGGATTCATCAGTGACAGAGTGGGAAGCAGAACAGGTGGACTGATTGAAGTAAACTGTTGAGGGGAGCAGTGGGCATGACAGGAGAGGTCTGCTGCGCCAGGTGGGTCAGCTCCCTGGCTGGGGATCGAGCTCGTGCTGAAGCGGCTGTGGAGAGCTTCA